TAAAATCAGAATTTACTCGTAAAAATCCCAGATTAGTAAACACTAAACTGCATTTTAATCGTAGCCGAGGAAGAATTTTGCATTACTTACATTTACTTGTATCCCAAACTGAGGCAGTCAAAAAACACCTAAAAAGTAGCAGAAAAGACACAAAATATATCAGTGTAGAGGCTGACATGAGTGCATGAATTTTGACATTGAAACTCGATTAATGAGCAACTCGATTACCGCCTCGGGAGTCTATTCACCCTGTAGCGAGAATTTTGACAAATGCAGCATATAGAAAGGATTGGATAAATGAGAAAAACATAAGACATGAATAGGCATTGATCACATCAGGTAAAAGTAGCTCCTGAACAAGAGGTAGCACAAATTCCGGCTTCAAAATATCACAGAGTCCCAAGCCTATATAACTAGGAAATCAGAATATTGTTAGAAAAGAGACACGATCATCAAATAACGCTAGTTGAATGATCTAATGGCAGACGCCTCATTTGAACTGGGAGCAAGATTAAATTTCGATACTACTGCAGGTCCCGGCAATTTCAATCTTGAGAAATTTTAAATGTAAGCCCTCAACTGAAAACCAGTGTTCTAAAAGTCGCTAGGCGTCTTCTAGGCGCTCGGCCAGCGTTTAGCGCCTAGGCGGGGCTAGAAATCAATATTAAATACCTTATTTTTTATTTATTTTAACTACCTACAAAATAAAATTATCTAACTTATAATAAATCGACACACCTAAGTCCAAATAATTAAATTAATATACTTAAAAAAAAACATGAGAACAAATAATGTAATTATTATTTAATTTTTTTTTTTAAATTGATAAATTGCCGCCGAGCCCGCCTAGGAGCGCCAAGGGCCGCCTAGCCGCCTGACCGATTTTTTCTGCCGATTTGTGCAAATCGGAGGCGTCCGGGCACCGCCTAGGCCAATTTTTAGAACAATGCTGAAAACCCACTTAGGAAGACAAAAAATTTCAGCAAACGTCATGTTCTTTGTGCTGATCAAGATCAAGATCTTCACAAAGTTGAAAAACTTCAACCAAATAAATGTCTAGCCCAATAGAACCACACCATTTCAGTACTACAAAAGGTCACATATACATTAATGGCATGATTGGTAGGAAAGAATGACATGGGAATGGAATGATCATTTCCTTACCCATTCCTTATCCCATGATTGGTATATTTTTTGGAAAGGAATGATCATTCCAATTTGGAATCACAAAACCCATCTCCATGGGATTAGTCATTCCATAGTTCATGGAAGGTTTTCTCATTCTCATGTGTGTAGGAATCAATTTTTCAAAAAATATAATTAACAAATATTAATAAAAATAAGTATATAATATATATTATAAAAAAATTATTAAAATATATTAAATAAAATTATTTTAAAAAATTAAATTCAAATAAAAAATTTGAAAACTTACTTTTATTTAGTGTTTAATTAGATATATTAAATACTTATATAAAAATAAAACTAAAAAAAAGCATTTATATATAATTTGAAAGTATATTATTTTATTTTTATATATTATTCTAAAAAATAAAATTCAAATAAAAAAATTGAAACCTTACTTTTATTTATTGTTTAATTAAAAAATAAAAAATATATTATTAAAAATATATTACTTTTTATATATTAAAAATATATTACTTTTAAGAATATATTATTTTTTATATATAATTTAAAAATATATTATTTTATTTTTATATATTTTTAGAAATATATTTTTTCTATATTATTAAAAAATATATTATTTTATTTTTATATTATAACAAAAGCATTTATATATAATTTATTAAAAATATATTATTTTTTATAAAAATCTTTTATTTATTTCTATAATAAAAGATGATATTGTCATTCCATTCAGGTCTTAATCCTTCTGCATATCAAACGCATCAATACAAAACTTGTGTCATTCCATTCCCATAATCATTCCATTATTCAATTCATTCCATTCCTACGAAATTCCATTCCATTATACCAACCATGCCATAAATATCACCTATGTAACATACAATACTTATTATTAGGAAACAACAGTAAGTTCACCATCCAGAAAGCGAGGAGTACTTTAGCGCTGACGACGACTTATTCTACAGTAAAAAATCAGGAATACCTGTTTTGGACCAACTTTGCTTAATATTCGCTGCAAATCCGACAGCTTCAGGGGTCCCACAGAGGTTATATCACTTACTGCTTCAGCACTCATGCTCGGGACAACCAAAATTTTCCAGCCCTGAAAAAGTAGAAATCGGAGCACAATTATAGGATTTATTAAAGAATTCCAGATATACACGACATAAGTCTATTTTCTTTGTTACGAATTCCAGTTTCTAATAGCATCAAAAGAGCCAATACAGAATAAATTATGTTGAAAACCAATCAAAATGTGTGTGTGGTTCTAAGGTCTGCTGTATATTCAATTAATATGATTACTTGTAGATCTTCTCAGTACTCCCAATCATGGGGAGGATGTCTGTGTTACTCGATGAGATATCGTCATCAACCGTATCTTCTGAGCTTTCTACAGAAACTGAAGCATCAGGTCCATTTTCTTCAGGAAAAACAATTTGATCCTGTGTTCAACTTTGATTGAGGAATTACCAATTGGTGATAAATATTATCAGACAGAAGATAACGATAACGGAAAATCTGAGAGCAACAAAAGCAGGAAGTCATCCTTATGAAAGATAGACCAGGATACATTTTCAATAGCATTTGAAGATCAGTCGAGCCATTGAAAATGAATTAGCCCTTCTTCCCCCTGAGAAAAATAGTGAACATGATTAAGTGAGAATAAACAGAATTCTACATATACAGTATTAGCACCACTATCTCATGTTATAGGATCTATCGGGCTTCTTGATTATGGGAGAAATGAGAAAGCTGGAGGAATAAAAACATGACAGGAAACAGAGAATTATCCACATACCCTTCCCATACGAACAAGTCCTTTACGAGAATCGGGGATAACACGCGTTCTATCCATAAGCATTTTTCCTGCAAGAAATTCCAGTAGAACTTCTGGCCAACAATATAGACCGAAGTTATCATATATTCAAGGCATAGAATCACTGATGACACTGAATCAGTGTACCAAAATATCCACCCCCAACCCCAAACCTTAAACACACACTGAACTTATCAAACTCTGAATTATAACACTATTCACGTTCAAGTTGTACAATGATATTGGTGTAGGCCAAATTTTGATCATATAGTACCCCCAATACAACATTTTGTGTGCCATACAATTATAATTGAGATTTTCGATTACAAAATACCAAATATGAAATTTGGAGAAAAAAAATAAAAAAAATTCTTGACATTCGGCATTTTTCATGTCATCTAAACTTGGTAAGAAAGTATATCCATCAGATCACTTAGATAGGCTCAGACAAATCAATAATCAAGATGTCCTAAAAAATGATGTACAAACTGACAATAGACAAACCTTTTTTCCCAAAAAACTATCCCCATATTTGATTTTTGAGATGAACTATATAATTACATAAACAATTCCTCCGCATAAGTTTTACGAGATCGGACACGATCGATTGTATGTTAGGAGATGCTAGTTCCTAAACCTCTAGACTCCAAAAGTATCTTCATCTGAAATTCGTGCACGTCCAATGGGCACCCGTTTTTACTTAGAATGATTAATTTCACAAATCAACAAATAAACAAACACAAATAAAACATTTCATCCTTAACATTTCAGTTAGTGAGACAACAACACCAGCAAGATTTTACAATACCGAGAAGCAAATCTGTAATATATACATTATAATGTGAAGAACCCATGAGCAGAACTCCTATTATCACTTTCTTAAATCTCTTTTATCCCGAGCTGCCATGAAAAAAGGATCAAAGCAAAGGTCAAGTTAACTCGGGCCCCTTTTATAAGGAGCTGAGAATATAAAAAAAAACTCCATTAGAGCAACAAAATAAAGGTCTGCCACCACAGAGAAAATTAAACAAAGATTGGAAACAGATTACACAAAATGTATTTTCGTATCCAGAGCTCGCGAAGATTTCATCTTCAACCTCGCCGCCATTGTTGATGTATAAAACATTATTAAAATCGAAGAATGAACAAAATCACCATGAATTATTTTACCTGGTCTGTGAATATTTGCAGTGGCTATGGAGAGGAAGAGAGCTGTCGAGGAGACTCGGAGCCGAGGTAGAAGAAACGTCCGAACATGGACATAAGTAGGCTGGGCCGAATGAATGGAAGCAATAAAAGATATTGGGCTTCTCATTGAACTGTATTCAATTTGGGCCAGTAATTGGTGTTTTTATTTATTTCTGGTGAGTGGTGATATTTTGATTTAACTTCAAATATTATTTATATGTATGAAATATTTATTTTAATTACATATATACTAATTTTACAGTTTATAAATAATTTATTTTTTTGTCATAATTTTTTATATTGTATTATTTTTATTTATGGCTAATATATGAAAATGGCGACACATGATTTTATTTTGAAGTCGAATTTTTATTTTAAACAATAAAAATTATAATAAGCATGTGTTATTTGGGAACGTCGAAAATTGAGCACTTTTTGTTTTTTTTTTTTTTATTGCTTACGCCAATATTCAATGGCAAATAATATGTCACATGGTCATGGGTCGTCCCAACCCGAAACTGGCACGGATCTACTGGATCCATAAGGATCAATTTCGGGTCCCTTTTTTTCTTTTGGACCCGCCGGTTCCAGTCGGCCACCGGGTCCAAGTTGTTTTTTTTTTCATTAAAAAACCCGGCTGTTCAATAGCCGGGCCGATTAAGGCCCCAACTTTTGAGGCCCGGCGACCGGCGGGCCGGGCCGGGTTGTGAACCGGCCCGACTGAGGGCCATGTCTAGATTTTATCTGGAATAGTAATTATTGGCATTTTTAGTTATTTTATTTTATTTATTAAAACTATTTCTATTTCTTCTGCCCCGAGCTCACTGTCCGACGAACACAGATAAAAATGGCGACAACTCATGATCAGACGACAATCTGGGAAGAAATTGACCGCGCCGAAAAGTATTCAATTTTTCACCTCTGTTTTTTTTTTTTCCTTTTCTTTTTCCTTTTGAATTGTGGATTGGTTTGGACGTTATCGATTTCAATGTCCTTTTTCCTTTGTGAATTTCGATGTTATTTGTGGCGAACCTTTGCAGTTATCTCGTTTGCTGTATGTTCGATGAGGCGGCGGCTCTAGCGTCCTCTGTTATCAACCGATTGCTTCGAAATTTGAATAGCAGCAAGGACAGCGAGGGTTCGGAGGATTTCGAAAACGATTGGGATGATATGTCGGAATCAGCTGGGATGGTTTTTGTGCAAGCCTTGAAACAATCGCGAAGGTATAACTGAAATGGGTTGTTTGATTTTTTTTTTTTCTTTTTGTTCATACTTTTTTGGATTAGCAGTCATCTTATTGAACATTGTGCCACTGTGTGTGTGTGTGCGTGTGTTTTTGTGATTTGCAGGACCTCAGAAATATGGGAGGAGCTCAAACTGGTGTTTGGTTCAGTAAATGCCATACCTGTTCGAGTTATCGTCACCGGGTATCTCTTCGTATTGTTGGTTTATACATATTGTTGCTTAGATTCTCTGTTTCTATCGTGGTGCGTTGGGTTCGATTAAGCTTTTTCTAATTCTGAAAATTTCAAAACTTGGCCTATTGCTTAATTGTGGGACTTCAAGTGTGGTTTGTGGAAATGTATGGGTGTGATCAATTATGAGGAACTCCTCAAACGAGGAAAAGCTTAATTCCCATGATTTTTAAATGTAAAGAGCAGGCAAAGCTTTACCTTTAAAATGAGCCTGACATGGCTCGAAACTGGGTTGGCCAATAGTCAGTCAAGTAAATAATTCAAGCAAGTCCAAAGAATAATGGAATACATCAGATCAGCTGATGGTTCTGTTAATCTAACTGAAGCATATAACTTTACATACAAAAACATATTCAGTGATTCGACATTTTCATTCTTTTTATTTTTCCATGTCAAAGTGTGATACTAAGAATACCTTGAAATAGAAAAATAGAATGGAGGATTTCATGGTCCTATGAAGTCCTTAATACGAATGAAGATGAGTTTGCAGTGACGTTTGAGGAATCTGGTCACTATTGATTCACCTAGGTCCTGGGCTAGAAAGTGGGGCTCTAGAAGACCACATTTTGGACATCTGAAAGTCGAGTTGTGGTGGCCTATAAAGTGTTCTAATCATCACTAAAGCTTGCAATAAAAGAAATTTATGTATATATATTGGGAGCCCAGTTTTATATTTACATTTTCCATGTTGTGGGAACGGTAAATGTATTTGGCATGCCAAATACTGGAATATTTAATTTCACGATCAGAATAGTTTAACTGTTCTGTTTGTCTTTCAGGGTGTGTTTGCAAATGTCAGAGAGCCTTTCGACTACAGCTCAAGGCTTTCTCGAAGAATTTCTTGACAATTGGTTGTATGTGGGTGACCGTTATTATCCTCGCTCGGGTTCTGTGGATAGTGCATCCGGCACTGAAGGATCTTCCTTCATGTTTCCCATTGGAGTTCATGAGTATTTCGAAGTTGTTGAGCTCTATGTTATAACACTTCTTGCTACTACTTTAAATGAAATGGATCTTGCAATATCTTGGGCGGAGAAAGCCATGCTTCCTATTGAGAAGCGTCAGGTAAGCTAATATCATATCTAGGATCTGATTTTATTTTACTTCTTCGAAGGTGATTCTTGTGCGCGCACTAGTTTTCCTTGCAATCACTGCACCTATATGTTTATTGGTTCCACGTGTATTACCTTTCCTAATCTTTTGTGAGCTTGTTACTATTTCGGCTTTAAAGATTTGAAGGTGCATGGTACAGAACAAACTAGTATAGATTTAAGTTTTAAGCCTATTATCTCCAGAATGGAGATTAAGTAGGAGAGGGAGATCTAAGCTAAGGATAATGTGAAAAGGCAAAGGTGAGTGAGAATACAGTATTGTTTGGTTCTTGGGTGTGTCAGTTTTATAATAACAATTTCCCGAATGCAGAACAAACACTTTGTTGAAAACTTATCACATTTAACTGAAGGCACCCGAGGGATTTGGTTCGCGCTACTTCTTTATCGATAAAAAATCTTTTCCCTTGATTCTTTTTTCTTATTCATGATATGCAACTATTCCATATGGTGTTATATTTCTTGCAAACGACGCGCCTAAGTAAACCATTTGATGATATAATTTTCTTTCTTTCACAGGAGCTTTTAAGGCGATTAGAGTCCATAAATTCTTCGGTCACCAGTTCATCCCAAAAGTCTATATCAACTCCGCTTTCGGATCAGTTCTTCTCTGGAGACCGAGAACAGCATAATGAACAACAACAGCAAAATGTTGAATCTAAATTCCTTCCCTCCAGGATGAATATCACAGCAAAAGATGAAATTCTGAAGCTTTCTCAACAAAGAGCTCCACACTTTTGGTGGTCTCGTAACATCCGTTTAAAAGTAGGCAACACAGAATTAGTAGTAGCGAATGGGAAGTTGCTGATGGCTTCTCTTCTGTTGCTTATGTACTATTTCACAAGGAAAAAACAGGCTGCCTTGAAGAGGTAAGAGCGTTGTTTATTTTAAGTGTTCCATTTAAAAGAAGTTTCATGAGCAAGAATTAGAATTTGGTTTTATTTCAAGTTATCCTTTGGTAAACTTCGTGATATTCTCACGAAAGCTTGATGTGCTTTGTGAAAACAATGATGTTGTCACAAAGTTTGAGTTACCATGACCTTGAACATGTTATTTTGAGGTGGATGATAGACGATTCTTTGCACGACACATAAAATACCATGACCTTGAATGATTTGAAAGTGGACAGTAGAAAAATCGGCATGCCTAGTATTCACTATTCATTACTACCATTAATCCTTGCTCTCCTGTTTCAGGTTTCTTTTTGAGAAAGCCGGGTTCGTAAAGAAGGCTCTGGCGGACTTGTGGCAACTCGCGTTTTCGTATCAAGTGAACCCTCTGGCTGCTGTTCAGACACTGCCTACCTCAACGCGTGGAAACCATTGATAAGCACTTTTCGGTCGTTTATAAGGCCATTAAGAATCGAATTTGGAGTTTGAAATCCTTGTACATTTTCTGGGCCTTCAACACTGTATGACTGCCATATTTTGGCTGTTTACACATACTAGTCTAGTTTGATACATATGAGGTGCTTGGGCTATGATTAACTTTGAAAGACACACAAAGTAATAATCTTAATTATTACATTTATTTATCCATAAATAATCATGGATTCGATGGCCATTTTGCTGGAAAGGCAAGAACTCTTTGACCACCTGTCTCTCTCTCTCTCTCTAAAAAAAAGTCATGGATTGTTGAGATACCTTTCGGATTATTACAATTAACTCCTATTCAACCGGACCAGTACTTGAATCCACTTTTGGATTATTACAATTAAGTCCCAATCTAATTGCACCTTACCGAATTGGAGTCAAACCAAATTCAATTCTAGATTAATCATCAAATTTAATCCAATTTATGCATATTTATCACAATTTTCAGTTACAATTTATTCACAACCCAAACCTTTGACCAACTAAAGGCAACTCAAAAACAAGAATCACATTCACCCCCATCCATTTTCATCCTTTTACCTTTTCCTCCCCACATTTCAAATGTGATCACTAGCACACTCCATGCCTTCCTCACTGAAAAAGTGCCAAATAAATTAAAAGGAAAAAAATAAAAAATAAAAAAATCCAAGGGCCCACCGTACAACTCTCATGCAAGAAATTGTATTTCCACAATCCATGCAATGAAATAGTGGACATTGTCAATCTCTTCCCAAAAAAAGAAAACCAACCACAAAAACACTATTATTGAAAACACCCTCCATGACCACAAGCTCCCATTTTTCCCTCTCTTTCCCCACAAACCCACCCTCCAAAAGATCCCCAATCCACCACCACACGGGCCGCGCGCACCCGCACGTGCGCGCCACCATGGCCGGAAAACGAGCCACGAGCTCCACACTCGTCCTCCTCTTCTTCCACCTCGTGACCTTGGCCTCGAGTGACCCGGAATCCGAGACCCTCATCAAGTTCAAGGAGTCCCTCAAGAACGCCGGAGCTCTCTCCAAATGGGCCGGGCCGGGCCCTGCCTGCAGCGGCTGGCCCGGCGTCATCTGCGAAGGAGGGGTTGTATGGGGCCTGAAGCTTGAGAACATGGGCCTGGGGGGGACGGTTGATGTCGACTCGTTGAGCCAGCTCGCGGGCCTACGGACCGTGAGCCTCATGAACAACGAGCTCGACGGGCCTCTGCCCAACCTGTCGCCGCTCGGGGCCCTCAAGAGCATCTACCTGTCGAACAACAAGTTCTCAGGGGAGATATCGGCTGACACGTTCGATGGGATGATGTCGCTGAAGAAGCTCCACCTGGCGAACAACCGGTTCGTGGGCCACATACCGGTGGACCTGGCCCGGCTGCCGAAGCTGGTGGAGCTCAGGCTGGAGAACAATGGGTTTGAAGGAGAGATACCTGAGTTTCAGCAGGTTAGGCTGAGGGACTTCAATGTGTCCAACAATCAGTTGATTGGGGAGATTCCACTTGGGGTTGGACATCTTAATGCTTCATCTTTTTCAGGTGGGTTTATTTGGATTATTTTTTTTTTATTCTCCTCAATTTTTAACATTGTTTTGGATTGGAATATTTTCTTATAGAATGTTCATTGAAATGGATCAAAATCAGTGGCGTAGCCGTAAATTTTTTTAACAGGGTTGCAAAACATACATACAATTGTTATTCAAACCGAGTTGTCTTGTACGGTTCGATTGTGAAAACTCTAGTTCGACTTGCCTGTTTATTTAAACGAGTCAAACTTGAACAACAAATCGAGCTTGTGTTCACGATCAACTCCATTAGATTTTTGAATTTAGGTCTAGATTTTAAGGTTTATAAAATGGGTCGAACTGAGATTATACGATTTTCGTTTGTGTATTAAACGAGCCGAGTCAGGCCAACACGTTTATTAAATGAACAAAAGTTCGAAAATGAAGTACTCGATTTGAATAATCTAACTAGACGCGTGTATAAAGAGTATGAAAATAATTTTTAAACATTTAATATAAATTGCGTGAATCATACCATAAATAATATTAAAATGTGAATGTTAAATTTGTAAAAATTAAAATATTAACTATTATACTTACTAGTCGTATTTTATATTGAAATGCCCTTCTTTAATAAAAACTTGTGAATTCTTCACTACTCTATATGACAAACTATATTTTTCTTTTTTATCTCATATGCGTCCACATTCATATCAGACACATGATGCTAGTATACAGAATAAATGATGCGTGTACATGATGAAGATGTGTTTGAAAAACAGGCAACTTGGACCTATGTGGGACCCCCCTAGAGCCATGCACCATCAAGAGACACATACCTCTCGTAACCATCATCGCCGTCTCCGTCATCGTGACCGTGGCCGTGGCGGCCCTCTTAGCCGTGGTCGTTATCCTCCACCGCCGCAAGAAGCCCGTCGCCCAACTCGACCCCAACGAGACCGTCGTCACCGCTGCCGCCGCCAAGGACGGGCCGGGCCCAGGCGACCTGGACCAAGTCGAGCGGGGCCAGGGCTCGATGTCCCCCGAGATGGGCCCCGGGAAGCCCGGGGTCCGGCTGACGTTCCTTAGGGAGGGCGGAGACAGGTTTGACATGTCGGACCTTCTCAAGGCATCGGCGGAAGTGCTCGGGAGCGGATCGTGCGGGTCGACGTACAAGGCCGCGCTTGACAGCGGGAAAGTAATGGTCGTTAAGAGGTTTAGGCAGATAAACAAAGTTAGTCGTGAGGAGTTCGTCGAGCACATGAGGCGGCTCGGGAGGCTCGACCACGACAACGTCCTCCCCATCATCGCCTTTTACTATCGCAAGGAGGAGAAGCTCCTCGTGGCCGAATACGTCCCGAACGTCAGCCTTGCCAACCAGCTTCACGGTATGCAATTTTTCTCATGCTTCTTCAAGGTACACACACACAGTCGAAATTTATCTCTCCTTTTCCCCGTAGGCAATAAATCCAAAGGCGAGCCGACCCTCGACTGGCCCACCCGGCTCAACATCATCAAGGGCGTGGCTAGAGGCCTCCAATACCTCTACCACGAGCTCCCGAGCCTGACGGCCCCACACGGCCACCTCAAATCCTCAAACGTCCTCCTCGACTCCTCGTTCAAGCCACTCCTCACGGACTATGGCCTACTCCCCATCATCAATCCGGACCACGCGCGCTCCAACATGGTCTCACACAAATCACCCGAGTCGTGCAAATCCGGCGGTCGGATCACGCGGAAATCCGACATATGGAGCCTCGGAGTACTCATACTCGAGACCGTGACCGGGAAATCCACGTGGGACAACGGGGAGCTCGACGACCTGGCGTCGGAGGAGCTCGACCCAGATGTTGTGGGGCCCGCAAACCGAGGGGAGATGATGAGGTTGCTGAGAGTGGGGCAGAGCTGCTGCCAGGCGGACCCAGACGCACGTCCCGAGATCAAAGAGGTGATAGAGAAGATCGACGAGGTGGGGGAGAAAGAGGGGGATGACGACTTCTACTCGACGTATGCCAGCGAGGCAGACATGCGGTCTTCGAGAGGGCTTTCGGACGATTTCAAGACGATCAATATATAGAGACAAAGATGCGTGCGTGTGTGTGTGCGTGCGCGTGCACACGTGTGCAAAACTTCTATATATATAGCTTGGTTAAGAACTTAAGAGGGGAAAAAAAAGAAGAAGAAGAAGTTGAAGACTTGACATGACGATGTTTGGTTAGCTGATTTTCAGATAGGATTGTTGTCAATGTGAATCACCCTTTCGGTTTCTGTCTACTTTCTATATATAATTATATATACATGTGCTTTACATTTTGTTTGATTTTGTAGTCCTTTGCATATTGGTTAACTGGAAAGAAGTTTTTTTTTTTTTTTAATTATTATTTTTTGGGTTAACTGACCTTAAACCGGGTGACTTATTTAGTTATTTTTGCACAAAAGCTGATGCAATTTAGTTATTTAATTCTTATTATGAAGAAAGAGAAAAGAAGCATAGAAAATTAGAAGTTGGACCCAAAAAGTGAGCTTCTGATTGGAATATTTACCTCAAGACATTAGCCATTGGAGGACCACACAAGTTTCCTCTCTCGTCAGTAATCAACATTAGAAGACAAATTCTGCAAATTAAATTACATCGTTTATACCTCACAATAGCATAACAAAATATGTAAAGCTCTAAACGAGCCGAGCTCGGGCTTGAGCATTTATCGAGCCGATACATGAACCCGGCTTGTTTATCAAAATCAGAAAGCTGAGTTCAAGCCTGAGGTCACCTTATAGTTCAAGAAATTAAGTAAACTTTCTTATTCTTTCTAGCCTTGCTGACCCGAGTCCACGAATGGCTCAATTCGCTTAACAGCTCTGACCACAAGATTGAAACCGGACTGTATACCAGCTATTGTGCAGTTCTTATGAAAATACAGAAGAAAAACCGCAGAAAGCTCAATCTTTCTCTCCACAGGCAAAGTAAATGAAAACATAACATTATGACATGTATTCAGAAGTGATCGTGTAGCAATGAAAGAAAATACAGTTCATTGAATGACAAGCCAACAGAGTGGGCAAGACTAAGTCGTGAAGAGACCAAAATGCGAAACAGGTGATTAGTCCCTAATTAAAATAGGAAAACGCGCAACAACAGTGGGAAGGTACATCCCAACATGAAAAATAAATTAAAATGACCCAAACATTTTGTGGAGGGAATAAGAATGTCGTACAGCTCTAAATCAAACCTGAAAAAGTTTAAGAATAGGTGAGCATGATGGCTAGCAGATTGCAAATCAGCCCGTACAACAGAAAACTTGAACTCGATATTGCACGCATCAAGAATAAGGAGGCTCACATTGTGTCTGTTTTTAGTTAGATGCTTGTTTCAATACTAGGCAAAAGCATAGGGAGGCACCATTCATTTAAGATGTTCAAAATTTGGTTAAGATCAAACATACAATGACATAACAAGCCAAATATATGCATATATGTCACTGGCTCAAATTATAATATAAGCTTAACCATTCATCACTAGGCGACCGACAGCAAACTAATGCATCATTAGGAACTCATATCAAACCATCTCAATTCACCAAATAAACTAGTTCATCGAATTCGGAAAATAAAGGCTGACAAAACCGAAGGTGCTGTTTGGCCTACAAACTGCAATGAACACCGACATTAATAAACCGCGTGATTTATTCTGAGTTCTGACACCACACTTGATGTGCAATAGTGTCGCAAAAAGTTAAAAAAAAAAAAAATGACGCCAAACAACTGATATGCAGGGCATTGTCTAAGACTGAAGAAGTACATTATTTTAACAAACAGACATAAACCAAAGTAATATAAAGTGGCTGATAATGCAAATGTTTTTGCTAAATGTAAAGATACTTGAGATCACAAGCACCTACTCAAATTGCACTCAAGAAGGCAACTTCCCGGCTCGGAAAATCGCAAACTTCGACATGACTGAATCAGAATACTCGATACCGTTGGCCTTAAAGAAATCCTCGATCATCTGTTTGACCCTCTCCGGCTCTGAGCTCTCGCACTCGACCTCATACATATCCCCAAATTCGTACTTAACTTCATCCATCTCCAACTTCACCCCACGCCACTCATACACATTCCGAACATTCTTAAACCCTCCCAACCCAATGAAACCCTCGACTCCAAATTCCTCCTTCACCCGCCTCAGAACCCTAGAATCCAAATCCATCAGCTTCCTGGGGCTCTCGAAGCAGGCTCTCCCGGCTGTGGGGTCCACCTCTTCCTCGTCCTCCTCCACGCGGCTGACGCCTCCGGCCAGCACGGCCTTGGCCTTTAGGCATACGAAGCATTTGGGGAAATCGGCATCCTCGTGGAAACGGAGGCGGAGGACGGCGCGACGGGAGCTGAGCTCGGAGGCCGGGCCGTCGTAGAAGGTATTGTGCTGGTGGTGGGTGGCGGCGTGGAAGGGGGAGAGGACGGAGAGGAGGCGCTGATGGGAGGATTTGCTCGGGAGACGGAGCTTCACCTCGATCTCCATGGCGGGCCTCGATCGAATGATTGATTGATTGATGGGAGATGGTAGGTGCGGGTGGAAGGGGGGTTGCTTGTGTTCAGGAGGAGAGGCCGATGCGGTGGGATTTGGAGGAGGGATCGAGGGAAGGGCGATCGAGTTGGTGCAGGAGGGAGGAGGCGGCGGTGGAGGAAGAGGCGGATGTGGCGGCGGCGGCCCGGCGGCGGGCTTCTTCGAGTTCTTCCTTGTCTTCGGCTTTGACTTCGATTTTTGTAGGTTCACGCCTCAGCATGTTCTCGGCCGCCTCTGGGTTTTAGCGAGTGGGAGGTTGAAGATAGCGAGGGCTTGGTCCTTTGTATACTTTTCAAATTTAGCAACATTTTTTTTTTTTTCCCCACCAAAACTACGTAATAATTAACAAAAGGACTATAATACGTTTTCTTGTTTATGGTTTAACATGAGTTTATTTTGATTGAGCGGAGGATTGAATTGAATTTTAAATTTGTAATTAATAATGTTGATGTGATATAAAAGAGATGTTGAAAATGATAAGTAATTATAAATATTTAAGTTCATAAAATTAAAAGAAAAAAAAAGGAAAATTGATGTAACCTAGAAAAATAAAAGCAAAAGGAAATTGAATAAAAATAATGAAGTATAAGATCGTATGTGACCACTAGTCACCCAGCCCTGAACCAGCACGAGCTCGGCTCGGTCAAACCCATTGACCACGTGTTTGAACTCATGCCATGGTCGAGCCGACCCAAGAATTCAGAGGTGGGTTGTTTTCAATTTTATTTTTTCATTTTGGAAGGGTCCCGATTCAGGTCCAATTTTGGGTCGGCCTGGCCTGGACTGTCGGGTCATGTAACCGACACGTACTTAGGTACAAGTCAGTTCAGAATGGGTGATTTTGAACCTGGAGGCTGGAAACCCGCTGGCCGGGCCCAGCCCGAAATTTGGCCATGTTTAAATTAACATGGGTGGCAAAGAAATTAAAGAAAATCGAGGGGGTCAAAAGGCAATAAAGAATTTTTGCGACCTGCTGCTTTTGCGACAAGAAAACTGAGTTTATTTATTCAATTGCATCTTCCAAAATTTCCCCAAATTTTTAGGGATTCTCATACTCTCGAAGTACAGTGTTAGCTTTGCTCGATCTCTCCATTTTTCCACCATAAGCACCATGGACGTGACCTCAGGCGATCTCGACGCGCCACATTCGATGGGCACCACCATCATCGGCGTCACCTACAACGGCGGTGTTGTTCTCGGGGCGGACTCCCGCACCAGCACCGGTAAGATCCGCCCCTTTAGTTATTTTCTTCGTTTCACGCTAAGCTTCCTGTGATTACGAGGTTTAAAAGGCAAATGAAAGCATTGCAGGTATGTATGTCGCGAATAGGGCATCCGACAAGATCACCCAGCTGACGGATAATGTCTATGTCTGCCGCTCGGGCTCGGTAAGGATTTAATTTATTGAGCTTTCTTTGAAAGCTTTCTATGGGAATGTAGGATTCGATTATGTCTAGCAGAGGGCACTTTTTACGTATTTTTCTTTTAGTTTATGTGGTGCAAAAAGCTCAAAACTTGTATTATGACGTTTTCTGTGCCCTTTGGTTAGAAATTAGTATGGTGGAGAGATGGGATCGTAAAATAAAAAGGATATAAAGAATGAGAAAAAAAAAAAATGGCTGATTGGGGATAAATCTTGAGTTGGGGGTGAGCTCTTTAGCTGCAATGTGTTTATTCATTATGTTTTACTTAACACATCTGCGTGCTTATTGCTGCTGTGGGTTGAAGTTTGATGGCAGCATATTTAGTTTGTTGATTGGTTATAATTGATTGTTAATCTTTTTATTGTAATTTTGACCAGGCGGCGGATTCACAGATCGTGTCGGATTATGTGCGTTATTACCTCCATCAGCACACGTAAGTCTCCATGAAATATTATTATCTTGTTTTATCACTATGTATTCCTAACTTGTGTTCTTACTGTAACTGTTTTCTATGGCTAAAACATTTTTACTTTATTATGTGGAGCAGTTCGGTTTGGGATTAGAAATTGCGTGACATAACAGTCCTTGTGTTTAAAGATAACATCAACAACGACTTATGACTCATCTGACCTTAAGCCACAGCCTATAAGATAAAAGAGAAATAAATGACGTGGTCCTTCTAATTATGAATGTTGAAGATTGTATAATTCTGTTGTAGTTTCCTGCTATTCCATACATGCAGTGTTTTCGTGCCCTCAGCATTTCTTCATATGAGTTCATGCAAAGCATCTGGAAAACATTAAGGCCACAATGAGGAATATATAGCTTTACATGCATGCCAAAGAAAGATGTTATTAGCCGTTAGTGTGTTAATTTTGTTTTCGAGAAATGGCCCCAGGTGTTATCCGATATTTACTTTATATTATTTACTTTATTTGTGGATATGTAGTTTTTGATGATTTTTTGGTTGTTAAGCTTTATGCTATAGAAATGCAATTCTGTGGCCACTTTGGAGTCGGGTGGAATGACAAAACCCCGTATACTACGTTGGTTTTTTCTATACACTCAGTTCTGTGAGCTCTTATTTTGTAGTATCTATTGCTTATTGATGAGTAAATGAGGAACTGAGCTTGAATTTTAAGCTGCCATCTGTCAGTTGAAAACAACCATGCCACTCTTTTGGTGGATACACTTTCTTTAGGTGTAATGATAGTAATTGATCTCAAACCTCTCTTTGGATCTTCATGAAAAAGTTATTAACTATTATTTGTGTACAGGATACAACTCGGGCAGCCTGCTACTGTAAAGGTTGCCGCAAACCTTGTCCGATTATTGTCCTACAATAACAAGGTTTGTGATAAGTTCTCGCCTCCTACTATTACTGACTATAATCTTGCACATTGAGAACTATATTTATCAGCAGACAAGTGAAAAGTTACTTTCAATCTAACATATGCTAAGTTAACGTTGTGGTGCTTTAAGCAATACGGTATTGAAGATGGGTGTGATAAACAGAATTTATGTACGTATTGCTCTGCAAGGTAGTCATTTATCATTGCCTGTGGGTAGCATTGGATCAATTTCCAATTGAAACATAAGATATGTCCAATATCTTTCTTGCCTAAACTTTCTATGTAAGATGTTGTGCCGCCACAGTAATGGCAGTTGATTTGTTTATTATTCACTGATGTCTCTTTAATCAATGAAAATACGCAATATGGGCACCACCAGTTAATAACTCATCCTTTAAGAAAACCTTCTGCGGTGGGTCCATTTGGATATTGATTCTCAGTGATATATGCGTTGTTTGCTTGAGCGCATACTGATCCCTTGATTTTGCAGAATATGCTTCAAACTGGTCTGATTGTTGGTGGATGGGATAAGTACAATGGGGGTAAAATTTATGGAATACCATTGGGAGGAACAGTTTTAGAGCTGCCTTTTACCATTGGAGGTGTGCGGTTAACTTCTGTGGCGTTAGTGAATTATGTCTTACGCATTTGCAGAAACAAGCCTATTGTTTTCTTTTTTTTTTTAATGTTATATTGTATGACAAATGGTTTTTTTTTTTTTTTTTTTTTTTTTTTTTTTTTTTTTTTTTTTTTTTTTTTTTTTTTTTTTTTTTTTTT